CTTCCAAGCAATGGCTTGGTTGTAAATTCTTCCCATTTTTCATACGCCCATAGATATTTTTGTTGAAATTTACGTGATAATTATGTATGTTTTGTGTCTCTACCTAAGACTTCATATCAGTTAGAGAGTGGAACGAAACATTTCTTATAAACGTGTGGAAACCTCTCTCTAATAACCATGTTTTAAAACTGAGAAGTGAAACCCAAAACGGAAAACTTAAAGAGGACAATATTTGTTAAAGTCATACACTGGGCAGTGTGCCAATAAGGACACTAGACTCCTAAGGGAGACAACATTTTTTTATAAGAGTGTGAAAATCTCTTCCTAACGTTATAAAATCTTGAATGGAAGACTAAATTTTTATACTAAACATTTACGACTTGTAATTAATGTTACTATTTAAACATAACAGGGATGACTATATCGAATGAAATTATGAAAAAACTATATATATAAAAATACACTTTTGATTTAAAAATTTGAATAAAAAAAACCAATCTTATTTAAAAAATATATATATTATTAAAAAATTGTTGAGTTTATAAAGCTACCAAAATTTGAAGGGATAAAAAGTGCATGCAAATAATCCCAAAGTACAAAGACATGATAAAATGGTCCAAAACATAGCCATTGCCCAATACAAACAAAACGCTCGACTATTTGAACCGTAATATAATAACCCAAGCTGTTGAAAATGAAACCTCACGGGCCAATCATTGAACGACACATGTCCCTCAGAATCCAAGTAATAATACTATTACGAGTCAACCGCATATTGGATTTTGGTCATCCTAATTTCTTTTTTTATTCACGTCCAATTAATTACAGCAATTAGGGAGACAAAAATCGCATAATCCGAGAATTAAAAAAAAAAAAAAAAAAAGGGTAAATAAGACCAGAAAGTATCAGACTGATAAACATGTAATATAATAACAAAACTACAAATAAAATTTGCCAAATTATGTACGACAATAAACATTGCCCTCTTTTTTTTTTTTTTTTTTTCTTCCCATTTTTCGATGTTATTAACACAAAATCACATAATGTGAACGCTCCCCGACCAATGCTTTCTAGCAGCTGGGTACAGTTAAGGCATCAGTAACATTTTAGGTCGATTATTATTTTACTTTAATTAAATAATAATTATTAATGAAAATATGTCACATTAGTTATATTATTACAAAAAAAAAAAAATTGTCTAACAATATAGTAATAAATTAAAAGATATCTACGTAAAAAATCCAAAATAGCTATAAAGCTTATTTTTCAAAACACAAATCTATAAAGTAATTTTTAAAAAGCAAACCCAAACTTTTATTAAATTCTTCCAAAGGTTTAACAGAGCGAATGGTTAGTTAAATAGTGCGGGTTTAATCCTTAATTAGGATGTAATTAAACGGTCATTAAAGTAATTAAGGGTGAGGGTGGCTATGTCGTGGTGGGGTTTAATTGTTTTTAGTCAAAGTAGGACTGAAAATTGGTCTCTGCAAGTCACGTGACGCTTTTTTTTTTTTTTTTTTTTTCAAATTAAACAAAATCTTTTGCTGACTCAGCTCCACCCCTCGTGGGTCTAGCCTCCTGCTCTGCCACGTGTCACCACCATGCACCCCCTCCGATTTATGCGGCGCTTCGTTGCACTACCTCCGCCGCTTCCCGACGGCGCCACCCGTCGGTGATCTTTCCCGTTCCCAGATATTTAATATAAAATACTAATGTTTTTTTTTTTTTCAAAAAAATTAATATAGAAAATAAAAAAATGGGTATAGGAAAATTGGTTTACTTAGGGTTTGGGATCCTATAAAAATAGCTGGCTTCGATTGGTCACTGTGCTTTTTCTTCTCTGCATCTTATCGTCTCCTTTGCCTTCACTCACTCACTCCATTGCCCGCCATTACTTTTCCTTCGTCTTCTTCTTCCTCCGCCATTAATATCTTTCAAGGTCTCTGAAAGTGAAAACAGCCCTTTTGTTGTGGTGGGTTTTAGCTTTGGGGGTTTTCAAGAAAGAAAGAGAAAAACAATTTGGCGTCCTCTTTGTGTAGGCTCCTTTTGATTCATCTGTTTCTCTGTTTCTGGGTTTTCCCAATTTTTGGTCTCTGTTTCTGGGATTTTTTGTTTTTTGTTTGTTTTCTTTTTCGTTTTGGGTGTTTGTAGCTTCATTCTCACGCTTGCACACTTCTTCAAATCCCTTTCCCTTTCCCTTTAGGCTTTAGGTGTCCCCCAACTTTTCTGATAAATTTCTCGTCCTTTAATGGCTTTTTTAAGACGGGTTTTTATATCTCATTAATGCTGGGTTTCACTCCGTTTCAGGGCTTACTTTTTCCATCTTTATTCCTTCTTCTCTCTGTCTAATCTCTCAAGTACTCCATTCCCTTTTAATCTATCCCCTGTTTTTTTCTCTGTTTCATCTTTCTCCTTTGCTTTTAATGAGAATCTGATTCATTGAGCTCTGTAATGAATATGGATTTCGACTCTGTTTTTGACCTCCCTGTTAAGTTCACCGAGCATCGTAACCATGTTAAGCACTCTTCAATGCCGGAAATTACGCCGAGAGTTGTACGAATTTCCTTCACTGACGGTGACGCCACCGATTCCTCCAGTGATGATGAGAACGAAATGTTTGGTCGCCGCAGAGTGAAGAAGTTTGTGAATGAGATTACGATTGAGCCGTCTTGTTCTGGAGAAGGAAATGGAATCTGGGGTGTGAACAGATCGGCGAGAAATGGCCGGAGACGGTCGTCCGGGAAATGTGGGGTCTCGTCCAGGAGTCGTCGGTCGGTGAAGATGCCGGACGGGAAGAAGTTCCGCGGTGTGAGACAAAGACCGTGGGGAAAATGGGCTGCCGAAATCAGAGACCCACTGCGGCGCGTACGGGTGTGGCTGGGAACTTATGACACGGCAGAGGAAGCTGCCATGGTTTACGACAACGCCGCCATTCAACTCCGGGGTCCCGATGCACTGACCAATTTCACCACCCAATCGCCCAAAAAATGCTCCGCCTACGACTCCGGCGAAGAGTCGAACAACAACATTTGCTCTCCGACCTCAGTCCTCCGGTGTCCATCGCCTTCAAACGAAGAGGACCAATCTCAACTCCCCGGCGAGCCAGACAACTCGTCCGTATCGGAAAATTTCTCGTCGGAGTTCTCAGACTTCTCGAGCTACTCCGACACCTTCATTCCAGACGACATTTTCGCCTTCGAAACTTCGATTCCGACCTTGTTAGACGACGAGATTGGCCTACATCACCAAACTAATTTCTTCGGCGATGACAGTTTCTTCAACGGCGTGTTTCATAGTCCCATCGAAAAAACCGGGTTCGGGTTCGGGTTCGAGTACCCTACTCCCCCTACGGACGACTTCTTCCAAGACTTCAGCGACGTGTTCGGTTCGGATCCTCTCGTTGCCCTTTAAAGCTTACCCGTCGCCGTCCATTCCATTTGTCGGCGAAGATTTTGCTCCGGCCATGACTATCGAAGTTTTATTTTATTTTAATATTGTTTTAAATTTAATTTTGTAATTTTTCAAGTATTATTATTAAATCTGAATGAGAGAAGGTCTCCGTTAGCGGTGATGGACGAGTTTGTCTACGTGTTTAATTCCATTTTCCCGTTCCGTTTTTGCACCGTTTTTTCCAGAGCCACGTGTTTATTCACGTGACCGGCACGCTGAGAAAAAGATAGAACCAGAGTTCAGAGCGTACAGAATCGCTCCAAGCTTTTTTTTTCTTCTTACAAAAATATTAATACACGTGCAGAGCACACGTGCTAGTGGACCAAGTGGGTGTGTACGTTAAATGACCTTTGTGATTTTGGTTGTTTATGTTTATGGAGATGTCAGTTTTATTTAATTATATAAATTAACGTTGAAAAGCAATATTCAATAGAGGAATTAGAAGCCATTATTCAATGTATATTGACTTGAAACATGAATTAGGATCCGTAAATACTAAATTAATAATAATATTAATAATAATAATAATAATAATAATAATAATAATAATAATAATAATAATAATAATAAAGGATAATTGCGATTCCCAAGGGAAATAGAGGCCTACGGAGCGTAGGGAAGTTGATAATGGGTAGGCACAAAATTCCAAAGGAGGAGGAGGAGGAGGAGGAGGAGGAGGAGGAGGAGGAGGAGGAATGAAGGGAAGAGATTGAATGAATCAGAGCCGTACACGTGTGTCTGTCAGGCTAACGGTTTTTCCAGTCCCATTTTCTCACCACTCAATTGGAGGGACCCCCACCACCTCTGCCTGCTTCCTTCACCCTCTTCACCCTCCTTTTGTCTCCCTATGCCCACTTTTACTATTACAACCTTCCCTTTTGTCTTTTCTTGTTCTTTTTTCTTTTGGTAAGGTAAAATAATTTCAACCATACAATTTTTTTTTTATCTTTTTACTTTTTGTAAATTTATTGATTTAATTTTTGTACTCTTATTATGATCAAAATATAGATATAAGAGGCAAGGTGTCCCCTAGAGCAACCATATTAATATTAATAAATGTATATTCTTACTTTATAAACACTAATTCAATCTCATTAAATACCTTCCCTTCGTTACACTTTAATTATTTCACCATCAATTAATGTAAATGGGAATATTTTAATTCTTTTTTTTTTTTACCACCGTCAAAATAATTCAATTATCCACGTATGTTTTGTTATGATTCAATATCTTATTAATCTTTCATTTGCTAAAAAAATTAACGAAAAAAGATGTCCAGCTGTTGGGCCCACTAAAGATATGGGCCATAACGTTGTATTCGATACGTCGTCAACCATGTCGCGACGCATCGGATTGTGAAATTGATAGAGTCACGTGGGCCCATCTGGAGACAATTTCTGATTCGGGCCCATATATCAGGCCCGCTTTAAATATATATATTGTTCTGAAAAGCCTGCAACTAAAGTCAGACTTTTGACCAACTTGACCATTTTCAAGAAGAAATCAAGCGTGTGGGCTCGCACGTGCGGAACAGTTTCCTAGAAAATTTCGAGTTCGAACCTGGAATCTGCGAATACCTCTTTTTACCCCTTTAGCCGCAGCTTTGGTTTCCTTTTTTTTTTTTTTTTTAATCCAAATGCGCCTTCCCATTGTTTTTGTGATTCCTTCATAAACAAGCTGCAGCTAGCTCACTGGTTTTGAAATCCACTTACTGTTCCGCCATGGATGAAGCTCAAGCTCAGCCGGTTTGCGCTCAAGAAGCTCTCGATTTGCTCAATTGCGTTACGGAGTCTCCGTTCGATCAAGAGAAATGCTACCGTCTCCTTCATTCTCTGCGAGAATGCGTGCTCAGTAAGGTATTCGTTTTCTCTATTCAATTTGCCCTAACTGTTCGTGTTTATTTCGATATTTGATGAACTCAATTGATGCTTTGTTTCTTTACGGAATTTTCGAATTAGATCGCCTTGCACTCTGAATAGGATTTGCTGAGTATCGATTGATTTTTTATTCTATGGAGTTCGATTGTTATTCTCCGAGTCGTGATTGATATTTAATTTATATTTCTAGGTTTAGATTAGGATTCGTGAAATCGAGGATTATGCTTGAAATGATAATCTAGTGTTCTGGAATGATCTTTGGTTTCACAATTTAGGATATGGCAGGTAATTGTAATTCACTTCTCACTGCAACGCTGATTAAAATACTCAAACGCGTGGTTTCTTGATTTGATTTTTTGTTCGGATTGGCTTGAACTTTTTGTCCTCAACATTCCAGGCACATAGATTACATAGATTCACTTAAACGCTTAACACTTGCTTCACATTCATATTCATATTTGCTGTATAAGCAACAAAATGTAACTGTTGTTTTCTTTTCCTTGAATTTGTTGCTTCATCCTTCGCCAGAAAGTGAAAAAGTTCTCGTTGGCTGATGAAGAACGAGCAAAACCAAGTGGTAAGAAGAGCACTTGAAGGAAGCAATTGAAGTTTCCATTTGTAGGAGACATTGTCTTATTTGGGACTGAATTCTATCAAAATGATGACACCTTTGAATTCCTTCATGGAGTTAGTTCCAAACAAATCCAATAAATTTTGTTGAAGTTGAAAGAATTATTTTGGGAATCTTTCTAGCAGATCGATCTCTGTTGTTTGTGAGCAATACATTATTCTGGGAAGCTTTTTTACTCTTTAGAAAAACATCATCCAACCACTCAACATTGGAGCATTGAGGTAAAAGAAATGATCATGGCATCAATTGACATTAAACTGCAAAGAAAAAAGAAAACAAAAACCCCACCTTTTTACATTGGAGCTCTCGGGATTGAATTTAATCATTTTGTGCACTAATTTTACAAACTGATTGGAAGCTCTGCTAAATGAATAATGTAAGTTAGCAGCAACGCCAACAACATCAGCACGTACGCTATTCCTTGGTCTAAGCTCGTCCCTGCAAATTTCCAAACATAGAAATTAATTACTAGCATGTTCTTATTTTTTATTTGTTCTCAATAATAATGAAATGAACAAACCATCGCTAGCAATGGGAGGTTGGGCTGGAGACAAAGAAGGATCAGCGGCGGAGGCAGGGAAAAGCATAGCCAAAACAAAAGCAACAGCGACTAAAACGCCATAAGGGACCTTAATATAAGCAACGACCTCCATTGTTATTGGTATGTAGTGTTCGACGACAATTAATCTCCCTCTCCGGAGAGGCGCAGGAGAGAGAGACTAATACACAAACTGAATTACTCAATCCCGAAGACGACGATGGCTGCTCTCCACGGCGTTGCAATGGCGGTGTGGCTTTCAACCAATCCAGGGTCTGGGTCTTATACCCGCTGCATGCTTCGAACGGCATGGCCGGAAATGTTGCAGCTACTGCATGTTTCCCCACGCGACTCGGTCATTTTGAGGCCCTCATCCATCATTACTCCTTTTCCCTTTTAGGCTTTGTTTGAATGAGTCCCTGTGGCTATTTGAGGTGACCCTTCTTAATCAAATCGAATATATATGACAATGGTCTCAATGATCAAATTATGCATCTGGAATGAGACGATACAACTTAAAATCTCACTTATTTTCTTCCATTGATTTGATAAGAAGAGAATTATACTAATATAGTGTTCTATTTTCGTGCCCACGTAAACTAAAAGCGTTAGCTAGTTGGGCAGCTGAGTTCTTCCGTGTTGGAGAATATGGTTGGTTTGATCTCTTGCACATAAATATTTCGATCAAGAAAACCTCTCTGATTGAAAGAGCGGATTGAAAATTCAAAAACATTTTGCATAAAATTGAATGGGAATGGGAATGTTAATGCATAGGGATGCCGTGGATGAAAGGAAACAAGTAATTTTCATATTAAATGCATAACCTACTCCAATACGGCTTCTTCTTTCCCCCATTAAATGAGAGTTTCTTTTAATCACATCTCTACAATTAAGTTTTATGAACAATAGTTTGATACATTCATAAATTTTAAAACTTTAAAAAATTATCAAATTCTCAAGAATTTATTAGACACTTAAATATTTAGAGAATAAACTTATAATTTAATCTATATTTTAAAAATATTATATATAATTATATTCACTGTTTTAAAATTTTGTTCATCGACTCTTTCACATATTCATGAATTCGAGAACCAAGAAGAATGATATAATATACTTTGCTTAATATTTTACAATATTTTTCAACATACAACATAACGTTTCAAGTGCAAAACTTGAAGACGCTCTTAACTTTTCACATGAACACACTAAAACTTGACTTTTCACACGAACACACTAAAACGCAGTAGCTAACAAATACATAATTAAACTGGATGGATTTAGGACTTAGAGTTTAGGGTTTGCGGTTTTTCATAACGATCCGTACATTTCACAAGGCCAAAGAAAAGCTCCCATGGCGAACTTTCGCTTCTGGGCGACGTCTCCAGCCACCGGGAGGCCATATTCTTTGAGAAGGCAGTCCAGTTTCCACTCCGCCATGCCCTCATAGTCACTCCTCTTGTACTTTGGGTAGTGAAGAGGCATCTGAAAATGATCCAACTGCTTGCTGATCACTCGCTGCTGTTGCTGCTGCTGCGGCTGCTCGGCCCCGATCATGGCGTACCGACCAGTATAGACCCAGCTCATTATTCTGCTCATTGTTTGAATCTTTCACTTTGTCTTGCAAGTGCAAATGGTGGTGGAAAGGTTGGCTTTTTATAGCCCTCATGGGATGGGTGGGGGAAGAATGAATGAATATTTGAGTGAAAAATCCTAAAGAATTGAAAGATTTTGAAAGGTATAAATAGTTGGTGTAACAGTTTTGGCTCAACGCTAAAAGATATTATTTTTTTTGGGTTTTTCCTTTCGAGTTTTCCTTCAAAAATTTTAAAACGCACGTCTGTTAGGAGAAGTTTCTATACCTTATATAGAGTGTTTCGTTATCCTCTCCAATCGATGTGCCATATCACCAAGGCTTCAAATTGAATGCAATTGTTAGTATTCATCACTAAAAATAAATGCAAGATGGGATGATTGAATGGTATGAAACATTTGGGGCCTCATATTTTGAAGCTCCTCTTCCCTTAACCACACAAACTGAACTAACAATTTGACTAGTTGCAGCCTTCTGTGTTGATTTGATGTTGAAAATGTTCGTGGAAGTTGACAAGAGAGTTCTAGAGAGAGTAAGAGAACGCTCGATAGAGCTTTGTGGTTGAGACGCTCGTGTTGAAGTCCGAGAATTTATTCAGAGAAGTTGATAGGTTATTACGATTCTTTAACGACTTAAATCTCTACTCTTAATAAATTATATGAATGAACCGAGGCTATATCCGAGTAAGAAAGATCTTGAGGATAAGATGACTAAGAAATACTTAAAAATGAAAGTTATTACTTTTTCAATAAGACCCATCTCTCTTTTCAGTAACTCAATCTTAAGAACTTCATAGTTAAAGGTGCATTACTTCGAACAAGTCTATATTGAGTGACATCTTGAGCACTCTCGATGACTCAATTAGATGAACTTCATGGTTAAATGTCATAGAGATAGTTTCCATACTCTTATAAGAAATGTTTAGATCCCCTCTCAACTAATGTGAGATCTTGCAATATGATTATGATCTAAACGGGCCTAATCTAGTAATCTAGTTCTCTTCTCGCATAATCTAAAAAGAAATTGAACAATAAGAAGGTCGTGTAATATTTTTCTTTAAAAGATTATTAATTATTATTTAAAAAACGAGTAGAATTAATTTTTGTACTAAAAAAATATTTAATAAGTATTTTTTATATATAAATTATGTTCATCAATTTTAATTTTGAACTTAAAACTCTAAATTTAAACAAATAACATAAATTCTAACTAATTTGGTCACAATTCAGGTTAAATTATATATTATACATAAATTTATTGCATGTATTTTTACCTTTTTAATGTTGTGTTTCTTTCGGTAAAAAACACACACGGACACAGACAATAAATTTACAGAGATTTTACAACCAATAACAGAATGAGCTGTCAGTCAATCTAATACCTTTTTTTTTTTCTAATAATTAATAGTTGTTTTTGATATTTATCACGAAACGCCACCGTTTCGTCTCCACTATGTGCGGCAGTAGCGAACCAAAACGACGCGTTTTGAATATTTGTATATTTATATATAAAAAGGAAATACGAAAGCCGCGGGAACACGTACTATAAGTGCGTGCAAATAAAACGGAATTTCAACGGCCACGCCTCCATTTTTCTCCGACAACACTTATTCCCCCTAAAAAAAACTGCTTCTTCTTCTTCTTTGTTCTTTTGATTTCATTAATTTCTCGTTCATCTTTCGTCCAATTTGTCGTTACAGTATCCGACGAGAAACTGCATCTTGAGATTTCCGTTGTGTTTTTTCTCTCGGTTTCGTAGCCGTTTTGTCAATGTAATTACACCGTTCATTCATCAAAAACCCCCCACCAGGTGTTCGATGAATTGCCCCAATGAGGATTTGATTCTCTAATTGGGGTTTCTTCGTTGTTTCTTGCTTGTGATTCCATTTTCGTTGCTTTTGGATGGTTGGTTCTGCAATTACAGGGGATTTTCGAAGTGAAAGGTATTGCGTTTTCTTTTGATTGTTGAGATTTTGTGAAGTTCTTGACTGTTTTCATTTAATTCTGGGGTTTGATCATTTTTCTTGATAATAGAGGTCGGTTGATTGTTGTTTTGGAACATTGGGATTTCTGGGATTTCTTTCCTCTGCTTATAGCTTCTCATTGTCGTGTGGTTGAATCTGTAGGATTTTAATTGTGGTTTGGGAGGCGGTTTTGTGTGATTTGGGGTTATCTCATTAACGGAATCTTTCTCTCTGAGCCGGGATGGAACAATTCCGGCGTATCGGAGAGGTATTGGGAAGCTTAAAGGCTCTTATGGTGTTGCAAGATGATATTCAATTCAACCAGCGTCAATGCTGTTTACTGTATGATTTGTTTAGTTTGGCTTTTGATACCATTGCCGCAGAGATAAGGGATAATTTGAAGGTTGAAGAGAAGAACACCAAATGGAAAGCTCTTGAACAGCCTTTGAGGGAACTTCATAAGGTTTTCAAAGAAGGGGAGCTTTACATTAAACACAGCATAGATTCCAAAGACTGGTGGGCTAAACTGATCAGCTTCCATCAAAACAAGGACTGTATTGAATTCCACATCCACAACTTGCTTTCCTGCTTTCCTGCTGTCATTGAAGCGATCGAGACGGCTGGAGAAATATCGGGGCTTGATCAGGACGAGATGCAGAAGAGAAGGCTTATACTTGTAAGGAAATATGAGATGGAATGGAATGACCTCAAACTGTTCCATTGGAGATATGGGAAACAGTATTTGGTCCCTCGAGAAATACGTAACCGATTGCTGTGTGTTTGGAGAGAAGATCGATGGCTGATGGCTGAAGCACTCAAGGAGAAGATCAGTTCATTGGGAGCAGCTGGTTCAAAGAATGAGCAGCGGCTTGGGGAATTCTTGATAAAGAAATTGAACAACTCGGAGCCATTGAATGCAAAGCTCCTCCCGAGTTCAATTTTGTTAGGAACAAAGGATTATCAGGTGAGGAGACGGCTGGAAGGAGGGCAGTACAAGGAAGTCCAATGGTTTGGGGAGAGCTTTGGACTGAGACAGTTCATTGCAGAAACTGAACAAACAAATTCTGAGGTTCAAACTCTTTTATCACTTTCACATCCTAATATTTTGCAATCCCTTTGTGGGTTTTTGGATGAGGAGAAGAAGGAGTTCTTTCTTATAATGGATATGGTTTCCAAGGATCTTTCTTCCTATATGAAGGATAATAATGGAGCCAGGAGGAAGATCTTGTTTCCTCTCCATGTTTCTGTTGATATCATGCTTCAAATCGCAAGAGGCATGGAATATCTTCACTCCCAATTGATGTATCATGGAGATTTGAACCCTTCCAATGTGTTTATGAAGCCAAGAAACTCCTCAGAAGGCTCTTATCTCGTGAAAGTTGCTGGCTTTGGTTTATCATCAGTCAAGAATTCATCTCCCAGAAACTCAACCAACCAAATAGAAACTGACCCTTTTATCTGGCATGCCCCAGAAGTCATGGCAGAGAAAGAACAACATGATCCAGGAACAGTTACTTCTTTCAAGAAGACAGAGAAAGCAGATGTTTACAGCTATGGAATGCTTTGTTTTGAGCTTTTGACTGGAAAAGTTCCATTTGAAGATGGTCATTTACAAGGGGAG